TCAAGTTTCATGAAAATCACACAGCTTTATGATACAAAGTTACATAGGTAGTTATTTTCGAATGAATTAACATATAGTGGTTTTACAAAATTATTGCTAATACTATACTTATATATTTATTATAAAATATACAATGTCAAAATATTATTATTTCATTTTTTAATAAAAGAGGACATTGAAGAGTTAGTGATCTTGATTGATGTTTTATTTATTATTGTAAGAGGAATCTGACTCTTCAGTCTTCAATGTTTCTTTGAAATCTAAGGCATTTCAAATCATGTATGAGAGTAAATTCAAGTCCCACTGTCGTCATGCACATTTATTACAAAATCTTTTACTATCTCCTCTGAAACTAATTGTCAGATTTCAACTTAGCATAGATAACCGACGTAGTTTTTTTTAATAGGATAGGGTGACAAACGAGCACACAGTCCACATGATGGTAAGTGGTTGCTGTGACCCATGGACATCTACAACTTTCCTCGATTACGAATCAAGATGCAGATGCGTTGTCACCCGCGAGGACTAAGATGGAATGCCTCATTTCCAGTAAAAAGGGTCTGCGGTCCTCTACACTCACCATACGAAACACAGCAGCATTAAGCTACTATTTAGCACTGACTCATTTTAGATTTAGAGTGAGGATACGAATGAGTCACGAGTCTCCACTAGGAGTAATAGTATTCTGTGATCACGATTTACAACTGCACGTCATTAAGTGAAGTGCGGTAGCAGAGGTGGGGTCCAAGCGCCGAAGCCGCATACCTGTCATGCGCCTAATTGTTTTGATCACATAGTAACACCATATATTTTAAATAATAATGGTTTAAAACTGGGGGTGGGTTTTACTGTTGGACACCTTTGTGAAGAGTTGGGAATTGAAAAGTTAATTAAACATGTTTTGTAAAGACTGTATAATATTTATGAAGATAATCAACGTTTAATAAAGCCATTATGAATGTAACACTATCATTATCATCATCATCATTACAGCCCTTCACAAGTCCACTGCTGAACATAGGCCTCCCCCAAGGTATGCCACAAAGAACGGTCCTGAGCCACCTGCATCAATCGACTTCATGCATGTCTTGCCAGGTCGTCACTCCATCTAGTGGGGGGCGCCCGTAGTGGTTGGGAACACTAAGCTCGAAGTTGTTTATGAGTACATTTACCTGGGACAAATAGTCCGACTAGGTAAGTCCAACTTCGATCGAGAGGTCAATCGATGGATTCAACTCGGCTGGGCAGCATTTGGGAAATTACGACACGTCTTCTCGTCAGGTATACCTCAAAACCTGAAAACGAAATTGTACAACCAGTGTGTGTTGCCAGTGATAATATATAGAACTGAGACATAGTCCTTCACTGCTTGCCGTATGAGGGCGCTCAAGATCGCTCAGCGAGCCATGGAGAGGGCTATGCTGGGGGTTTCTCTGCATGATAAACTTAGAAATGAGGATATCCGCAGTAGAACAAGGGTGACCGACATAGCCCAATGGATTAGTAAGCTGAAGTGGCAATGTAACACTATACACTAATTAAATTCAAATCAACATTAGACCATTGCTCGAAACGTAAGTGAAAGTTCTAGATCCCACCAAAAGAAGGGTCCTGGGCGAAGTGGTAAATAACACTTTAGGATTTATAGTTTATAAAAAAAATTGTTGTATTGTTAGAACCCATATTCTTTATTTATATTAGTGTAGATAATTTGCTTGTTAGGAAGTTGTGTAGTTGTTTATAACCAATCCATTTGATAAAATGCAAGCTTTACAATTCATAGTTAAAGCTAACTTTTTTTAAGTGAAAACTTCTTTAAAATTGTGATTTGAAACTAAATGAAACAAAAAAGCAACACCAAAAAGAGACAACAAAATGCGTTCTATAGGGTTTACCCTCAAAACATACAACTTTCTTATATCTCAGCTCTTCTTTGAAGAACCAACAATCATCTAAAAAATCGGCACTAAAAAGAGACACCCCTCGAGTGAATGAGTACAGTACAGTATACAGTGTTTCTTATTATCTCAGTCTCATTCTTTGAAGATTTTACTTCTAACATGTATTAAATGCATACATGTTTTTTTATGTAGTAATAAAAATCGGCACTAAAAAGAGACAAGCGTACACATTCTATAGGATTTACCCTGCGAGTGAATGAGTACAGTACAGTATACAGTGTTTCTTATTATCTCAGTCTCATTTTCTGAAGGTTTCACTTCTAACGCGGGTTAACTGCATACATGTTTTTTTTATGTAGAAATAAAAATTCATTGTGTCGAATATCAACATGTTTTTACAATGATTAATATGGAAATGGTTGTAAATACAGTGGATATGCTACTGCTAAGAAATGGATAAGAAGGTGGTATTCATTATATTTTGAATATCCCTGCTACCTAATTAAACACTAATAGCTTTTCTCCTAAAAATCTCTGTCAATTTAAGTAATGTTTAAAGTTGCTCTCTCTCTCTTTTCGCTAAATGATAATAGAAAGAGACAAGTATAGAGAAAATCACCGGTTTACCACTGTCAATTGTTCCAGACCGACTCAACTTTGGGACCTTCAAGAAAAGAGTTTACTCCTTTTTAAAAGGCCAGCAATGCACCTGCGATTCCCCAGGTGTTGCAGTTGCTTATAAGCGGCGGTAGTCATTTACCATCAGGTGATGGCCAATAACTCAAAAGCTTGTCAATTTTAATATGTCGTTAAGTGTCGTCGTGTCATAGTCCCTTTGACTTAAAGTGATAGAGGTAGAGACAATGTCCATGTCACACCTATGCCGGTAGTTGTTGGGAGCACTACCCAACTAGCACGGTAGCGTTAAAACAACCTGTATATCGTTCGTATATGGGATCCATTCGAGTATCAAAGTGTTAAGAATACCTGTAGCAGCGGTGTTATAGAGTGCTCTAACTCACTTATAACCACGAAAGAGGCCCACGATTTTACAGGTAAAGGTTATAGAAAGCCTGTAGAGCAACGGTATAAAGGTGTTAAAGTACCTACATAAGAGTGTTTATTCATCCTCAGCTATTACTTTAACCGGTATTACTGTGGTTGTAGATGGGTTAGTTAACACTCTGGGACATAGAAAAACGTCGGCTAAGAATAATTTATCACTCAAAACTTCATTAGACCTATTAAAAATAGTTGTTTTACACTTTAACGCGTAATAGTTATATAAAATACTCTCAAGCTCAAGTCTCGTTTGAGAAATCCTATAAACGACATAATAAAATTGTGACAACGAAGAACAGCTTACCGAATGGCGAGACATAATTGACAGAGGAGTTATAATAAAGTGTTCAAGTTATTTTAGTTTGTGAAGTGAAAACAATCAGCCATTGTGATTTTACGGTAAGTGTATACTATGTTTTCCATCTCAATTTTAACGCGCTCAGGATTTGTTAGAGATTTCAAATAAAAGTTATGAAGAATAAAACAGACACCCCAAATTTGTATCATATTTATTCTTGCATCCTGGCCAGTGGCATGTTAAATTAAGTGGCATCAATGGAATAACAAAATTAACAAAAATAATGAAGTATTTTGTTGTCAAATATTGAATAATCCAGTCATCAATTTATAGGTTAGTTTACCAAAACAATGGCGAACTTACTTAAAGCTTTAGGTCTTCACTTAAGTCATCTATTACACACTTTGAGATACAACATCTTTACTCAAGAATATTGTGCAGTCTTTAGTATACTTAACAGTGCAATAATAGACTTGAATAAATATACTTACTATAGCCAAGGCAATACAACCGGCTAAACATTTTACGAACTGGATGGATTAGGGTTCTTCAACGAAATAATCAAAACCTGCAAGTATTAAAAAAAATCACAAAAAAACAATGTTTTGGTATTACTTAAACCGAGTAAATGATTTATATGGTTTGTAAGGTGTCTTTTTATTAGTTCGATTGTAGTATTATACTACACATCATAACAAACCACTTTTCCTAAGAAACATTTATTTTTAAGGATTGTCCAGGTTTCTATAACTTTTACTCATTACAATCGTAATATCTCCTCAGTTCCTTACTCGCAAAATAAGTCAGTCACAGTCACTCAGTCTTACACAGTCGACGAGTGAAAACGGACATCAATGCGTCAGCGGCTCGAGCAGTGTCGTCTGATCATCTCACTTTGATACCCGAAAATAAAACGCGTACAAGGTCAGTCATTCAATAACATTCATTATTTATCTTAACTTAATGTAACATAGAATGTTAGACTATAGGTAGATAGTGTAAGTTGGGACTTGTGCCGAAAGATTTGTTTATTTATATAATATTGTGTTGAAATAGGTACGTGGAAGTAGGTAGACCTTGTTTCTATGTAGGTATAGATATCTACCATATTGTTTAGCTCATCTTTATTTTCGCCCCTATGACGTGGTACTATTATGTACAAAAACACTATTGGGACAACTTTTTTGTTTTAACTACCCGCGACTTCATCCATATGGCAAATGTGACTTCGGTAAATCCAGTAATACCTAATAGTTTTTAAGTTTCTTAAGCACAAACTAGTAAGAAGTGCTAGTGCAAGTGTTTCTTAAGGGTTGCATACACAACTACGTACAATGTTATGATTTTTTTAATCGCCGATTCAATGTCACTTGTAGTTTCGTAACTATGAAAATTGAAATTATGTAATTGTTTTTAATTATTTTTTATATATGAACGTTCTTATTGGCCACAAATGCTTGCTTTTAGAGCCGCAAACGACATGATCTATGTTTATCAGGTTGTAACGAAATATCTAAGGGATACGTGTGGAGGTGGAGGATAAATTAAAGTTAACAACTTTCACCAAAATGTGGGTCAAAATAAAAAAAATAATAATTGGCACGCTATGTAAATTGATGAAGAAAGATTTTCTCTATTGGGACAATTTGTTATACCTTGAGTAATTACGTATATACGTGTTACGTATGTTTTCCGTTGTCTGAATTTGTGTACTAAGTTGTTATTATTATTGTTTCAGCATGCCGTTCAAAGTTGTTCAAACCTTGGAGGGAAAGAAATATAAATTATTTACTATTCCATCGGGTTGGGAATCTAACAATATTCTCAGATATCCAAATAAATGCATATCAAAGTATTTAAAAGATGAAAATTCAACACCAACGCTAGACTGGGACGTAATAAAATGTAAAGTAAAACGGACCGATGTATTAAGCTACGAAAACGGAGAAAAGCTTGTATCTGAAATGCTGAAGCACAGTGATACGGAGGACGATGTCGATAATTATACGCAGCGGCGACGTTCACATAACAAATCTTTAAATCTGAATCCAATAGCACAAGATATGGTAAGAACTACATATTAAATGAAGGTTATGACTTTAGTAGCCTATAAAGAATGAATTAATGTTTTTTAAACATTTAGTCTATTTATTTTTAAACTCTTTGTCAAGTCTTGTTTAATAAAATTTTACCGGCTCTTTTTTGTTTCAGATGGGCAATGTTGTTTTGACTAACCGTAACACAGACATAGCGTCATCGTCCGCTGACTTGCCGATTGAATTAAACTATAACTTAGTTTATACCGAGGATATTCAAGCAAATTCAACAAATACATCTCAAGTCTTTTCAAATGATACTACACCTTTAGTACAGGATTCAGTAAGCTTTGACATCAGTAAAATGTTTGAGAACCAAAAACAAATATTAGATAACCAAGCAACTATTCTAAGCCAAATTTATCAAAATCGACAGCAGCAACTGGATAATAACTCGGCAATTATCGCCCAGATTCAGTCTCTAAAAAATGTGCAAAATAGTTTCATTCAAAAGGTGTCTGCTTTGTCTGTGCAAATGGAAGACGCAGTATTTCAAATAACTTCATCGTATAATCAAGACGTGCAAACTTTAAATAGCAGCAAAGGCCATGTTGAAAATATTCCAATATATGAAAAGCCAGTTGACAGCGCCCAGGAGTTAGATGAACTCGAAAATCAGTTATCGGACCCAAACAATAGAGACTGTTTGAAAAATAGATATTCTATACTTTGTTCTGGAGGTAAAGCTATAGACTGTGCTTATATGCTTGTTGATGTTATGTTTACAAGGAAATTTATTTGTGAGTGCTCATGGAGTGGGGGGCAGCAGAGGTGAAGATTTGAAAATTCCTTTAAAAGGTTATAAACATGTCTTGTCTTTTTTTCTGGAATATGGTGCACTATTGGGATCAGGAATATTCTTTAAAAGATAATGAATTATTTTTCAAAACGATTTTGAAAAATGCCAAAAAAAAGAAAAATTGCAAAACTTGAAAGAGCTTCAACATCAAGGCAACGTTCGAAACCCAAAAATAATTTGAAACGTATGAAGTTTTCAGAAGAAAATGAGACAAATGTAACTTCTGATAACGGTGAAAGTGAGAATGAGATAAACGAAGAAGAAAACACGATAAATAAGAAGAAAAGAAATGATTCAGTAGAAGAACACACAAAGGAAAATAAAGAAGGCGATGTTATAAAAATATCTCAAAAGACATCGCCAAATATAATAGTAACGTTATAATTGGAAAGGAGACAAGTGTCTGAAATTGAAGAAAAGGAATCGTTACATTAAGCAATTATAAATATTTATTATATATTATACTATTTCGTTTGATATTCTGAAAACTATGTAAAGATTAAAGCTATTAGAGTATTATTTTTATCTATTTTTATTTTGTCATATGTAAGGCTATAATTGGAAATCGAGACTGATTGAAATAATTACTAGACATTACCGAATTTTTAAAAATATTTTTGTAGGTTAATATTTATTATGTAGATCAAGTTAGTAGATATACAATATGTAACTAAAACCCTATCAGGATCATTATTCAAACGTATAGAAATAACTTTTTTGTAAAAACTCGAACAATATTTTTTATTTTAATTAAAAAAAAATTGTATGCGAATTGTATGTGGTTTTATTACCTCTGCATTATCGGTGGAGTAAGAGGATTGTCAAATACCTCGCTTTACTAAGCTTTAGCATCGGCTAGTGTCAGTAAGAGGCAATAAAACGACATAAAATAAAATATTTTTTTAATAAAATTTAAAAACGAGTTATTTCTATAGGTTTAAATACTGATCCTGATAACATACTTAACGGGAACCACAGGGTTTTTGTTACGTTGTACATACCTATAGGTGAAAAATATACCTACTAATACGTAAGGCTGTATTATCTCAAAACAATTACTTTGTTAAGTACAACATAATATGTTAAATTGTATTAGTTACCATAGTTAGTTTAGGTATACTTATTTGTTTTTTTATAGCAATCTAAGCTAAAGAAAGCATTTTTAATATTATGATGGATAAATAATATTCTCTTCATTGATTTTTTCATAATTCACATACAGAGTATTTATTTCAGAAAATATTGTGAAAGCAAACATATATTTTGTTTCTAAAAACCATATTTGTACAACAATCTTTTCTTAAATTTTTACTGTTTTAATAAAGAAATTTTCAAATTAAAATTTGCTTATCATTTGAGTACCTACAGCGTATGTAATAATGGTAGAAAGTATATTATATCTTTATGACTAATACAAACTAATTTACATTTGATTTCATTTGGATTTATTACTATAACATCATCAGAGACAACATAAGGTTCTTTTACTTTATACATACTTAAAAACGATGACTTAATCGGTAAGTCAAATATGATATATTTGTTCAAAATTTTTTTACCACTTATGGTAACCTCTTTTTCACTACCAGGGGACAAGTCTTTTAATTCAAATATATCATCATTGTGAGTCATAAAATATTTATCTTCTGGCTTTAAAGAGAGGACAAAGTTTTTGAAGTGAATTTTACGATTACTTTTACTAGTTATCAAGTAGGGTACATTATTCGTGGTTTTTGCTGTCATCAAAAGATTAATTGTACTTTTCTCACAAATTCTCTTAGCAACTTGTGCCAGAGGTTTGTCACCCTGTCTTAACATTCTCTTGATTAAATATAATTGATTCTCAAATGGATACGCATCGAAGTTGTGAAGAGGGCCAAATTTTTGAACTTCGTCCACAATATGGAGTAAATTATGCACATTACTGGTGATATAATGAGAACCATAGAAATATTTATACTGATCTACAAAATGTTTCAGCATTTCTCTGGCAAGTGGTAGTAAAGTTGTGTAACATTTATTGGAACATATCGTAATAGAGCAAAATATACTCAAAAAGTGTTCAACAACATCAACACGAAGGATATCAGACAATATGATAACGCTTAAATAATAAAAAAAATTCTAATTTCACTTGCTTTCCAATAAGCGAGACAATCTATACTTCTTACTGCCCGGTGGATCTCAGACGGTAATTTACAGTTTTTTAAAAATGCCTCTAGGTTTTCAATATCTCGCGCACACAGCTTAGTCATATATGTTCCAAAATTGCCATCTCGCCACCCAATAAGCAGCCTCTTCATTATACCCAGATCTATGAGGTGCAAAGAATCTGCTACTGGAAAATCTTCTACCATATCAATTGGCAATTGTAGTAAAGGAGAATCTATTTTATGATGACCTCCGTAAAGTTTAGCTCTGAAATTTTCATCTGTTCTTGGAGAATCTTCCTTGGTAGAGAAGACTACAGTATGAGATGTATGCGAATATTCTCCAACCGTCGTACACTTTAAACATCCATGTCTTCCGTTAAAATTACATACACCTGAAAAAAGTATGTCACACATTTAGCCAATACAAATAACTTAGAAAATTTGAAAAGATCGCCTTGAAATCTTAGCCTAACTAATTTAGTCAGTACATACGAGCGTTAAAGCAATGATTAAAGACTGAATACAGAACATCACAAAATTTAAATGAAAATTATTCATAAAATAATAATAATAATTCGTAAAATTGACTATACATAGTAATTTAGTTCGTCTATCACGATTATAACAATAATGTTAAAGTTTCAATACGGCCATAAATTAAAAATATTTACCTTTAAGGAATGCCCTTGCTGGAGAATCACAAACAAAACATTTGATTTTTATAGAAACAAGTTTCTCATCTATAATTATTCCATTACTAAGTAATGATTTCATCTCAGTTACAAAATCTTCTAAATATTCTTCTAATATTTTTGGTTTGCCTGTACCATAGTATATTCCAATTGTGAATACATTCCCCTCTGCATTGGCTAATATTGGCCAAAACTCCTTTTTGGCACTCTTAAATATTGGCAGACCGTCAAAATTAAAGATTAAATGAATGCTATTTGGAATGGGCGTGAAATCCTTAAGTAATTTCATTAACGGTTCAGTTATACCATGATGCCAATATTGTCCTCCTTCTATATTTTTAATACAAATTTCTTTTGGAGTACGCAAAACAGTGCGTGGATCTTTCGGAAGTAATAATGTAGTACTAACGTAGCCTTCATTCAAAATCAACAGAAGCTGTTTTAAAGCAGTTTGGGTAATATTGTTTCCTACGGACCACGTTTTTAATTGTTTAGTTAGTGCAGTAATTTTTTCAATATCACTAAATTTTTCTTCCTCTTCTTCTTCATCTTCTGACGCACTAAGTGGTATGGAATCGAAAAAATTGTTATTTACTTGTGATTTTTCTTGTTCTTGTTCTACGGAACCCTGCTGTGCCTCCACTCGAACTTGACCAAAATTACTCGTATTATGGCTATTTATATATTCTCTTTGTAACGAATCTTCTTTATTTTCCGTAATAACTGGAATACCAGAATCTAATCGGATATCATCATAACTAAGTGATTTGTTTGTGTCATTCGTACCATTATTAAGTGAATCCAAAAAATACGGCATTCCTGCATAATTCTTTTTTTCACTGCGCCTGTTTTCTTTTGTTTACTCCATCTTTGTAATCGTTTCATTTTAATGTAACTTAATAATAATACTTGGTAGAAAAATTTCTTCAGTTCGTAATAAGGTTGTTTATAACAAAAATTATAACAAATCGCAACTTTAGAAAGACTGCTTTTGAGTATTAATATCCATACTTGTCTTGTATAACACCATTACTTTTACAATGTATTTAAAGTGTATATGCCAAACACAATAAGCATTAGTAAAATTAAAATTATAGCTTAAAACTACATAAATGAGTTGTTCAACACTTTTAGTATCTTGTGTTAGTACACTCTTGACAAACTCTATTTTACAACCCATGTCTGCACCTATAGTCAATATAATACCTAAAGGCATATAAGACACTTCACGGCAACAACTAAACAACAATAAGTGTTAACGAGAGTCAGCGAGCACTGTTGTATAGATTTAGGAGCTACAAACAGGTCAAAGCTACAACTTCTTAACTATACTTGCTGTGATTAGCACTATTCTAACTCTTAAAGCAACCTAACATCGTTCATTAAAGTTCTAGAACCACTGTTGGAGCTAAATTTATCTTTTAACTCTTATATATGTCTTTTAGTTAGAACTGAGATAATTATTACTCAGTTAAACAGATTAAAGTTATATTAAAACCTGTAACTGACACCAAAATGTTAGTTGGGTATGCTCGAAGTTGTTGACGAGTAAGTTTACCTGGGACAAATAGTCCGACTAGGTAAGTCCAACTTCGACCGAGAGGTCAATCGACGGATTCAACTCGGCTGGGCAGCGTTCGGGAAATTACGACACATCTTCTCGTCAGGTATACCTCAATCTCTGAAAACTAGATTGTACAACCAGTGCGTGTTGCCAGTGATGACTTACGGATCTGAGACGTGGTCCATCACTGCTGGCCGTATGAGGACGCTCAAGGTCGCTCAGCGAGCTATGGAGAGGGCTATGCTCGGAGTTTCTCTGCGTGATAGACTCAGAAATGAGGATATCCGCAGTAAAAGCAGAGTGACCGACATAGCCCAACGGATTAGTATGCTGAAGTGGCAATGGGCCGGCCATATAGCTCGAAAAACCGGTAACCGATGGGGAAGAAAGGTTCTCGAGTGGCGGCCTCGTACCGGTAGGCGTAGTGTAGGGCGACCCCCACTAGATGGAGTGATGACCTGGTAAGACATGCAGGAAGTCGATGGATGCAGGTGGCTCAAGACCGTGCTTTGTGGCGTTACTTAGGGGAGGCCTATGTTCAGCAGTGGACTTGTGAAGGGCTGTAATGATGATGATGATGATAGAGGCAGTACAATACTTAATGGAATTTACATTGAGCAGCATTTAAGTATTTAGGTATGGACCGCATGCTCGTATGCCCCTCTTCTTTAAAAAAAAACAATACTTTCAGTAAATGATAATCAATGATTGTAAGTAAGGTTGTAAGAGTGAAGCGACACATGTATTGCTGGTGTGTTGTGTTATCACATCACTATCACATTTGGTAATGACAAATGTTTGCACACACAACAAACATTGCGCTACTGCTCCAGCATTATACCGCACCACTTCTCACTTAGTCTCTTTGGTTCTCTTGTTCGCTGCACATAAGTTGTATCATGAAGAATCGTAAGGCCTGTCACTGTGATTTATATGTAGAACGATGCAGTGCCACTGTTTAGGCATCATAACACACAGCCAAACCATTGTGTTGCTTTGCTCTAAAATGTAGTTAATACACCATAATTTTTTTAATATAACTTCTGGTTTCAGGAAGGCTTTTATAAGGACAGTGCCAACCTTTTCATATGCTGGGAGTGTAAAGCAATATTGTCCAGGATATGTGGTTTCCGGCACCAGGCATGCAAAGCGCAAAAAGAGCTGTCACTCATCACTGAAGGAAGAGCTGATGTATGTCAATATAACATTGTGAATACCCTATGTATTATTTGCTGTTTCTTAACTTATATTGTCTCATCAACACACAACCACACATTTTACCTGGCTGGCTGTCGGACTGAGACAGCCGCTTTTGTTATCTGTTTATCATGACATATACGTTGAGATAAGTTAGTTCATTTACATACACAACAGCCTACACACATCTAACAATGAGTTAAAAATAAACTTTTAGATATAAGTAAAAACTGACTTCAAATATACTATAAAAAGTATAAAACAATTTCCACATAATACTTTCTAAAGTCAGTGCCAAGATATAGGACTTCAGTAGCGTGGAAATTATTTTCTTTGCAGTTGATTTTTAAAGAAATTTTTGACCCTTTTGAATAGACTAAAGAATATCACATGATCAAGGTAACAGGTAAGGCACATTTATGACAAGGTAGCAACTGCAATTTTTAATTTTCGTCAATATCAGGTAGACACTGCTGTCCGTGTCCTGATTTGTTTCCCCCTGTCGCCTCTTACGACACCCACGGACCTGATTAAACTTTCATTAGTTCTGTAGCATATGCTGTAAAAAAGATTAGAACTCTTACCGGTGTTGAAACACCTAGAATAGTTTACTTTAGTTATTTCCATAGCATTATGTCGTATGGTATTTTGCTATTTGGGCACGCGACTGACACTGAAATTATATTTATTTTACAGAAGAGGGCCATTAGAGCAATATATAATTTAAAACCAAAAGAGTCACTGAGACAAAAATTTAAGGAAATTAATATATTAACTCTGGCCTCTCAATACATTCATGAAAATGTAATGTACGTACACAAAAATAAAAGTAGTTTTGCGAAAATAAGTGATATTCATTCTGTAAATACTAGGAGCAGACACAAGCTGGTAGTACCAGGTTACTCGACTCCACCGAGTCAGTAATTCATTCTTGGGGCGATGTATACGCTTTTACAACAAAATCCCAGAAAATATACAAAATTTGTCATACACAAAGTTCAAAAATGTTATTAAACTAAGTTTGTATAAAAAGGGTTATTATAATATTAAGGAATTTATAGATGATAATAACCCCTGGGAAGGGTGATCGCTACCAAGCTATTTCTAATTTGTCTTGTGTTGTTGATTGTAAACATGATTGTAAGCTATTATTAAAAAAAATAGTCCCGCTGGGTTTCTTGCTGGTTCTACCCAGGACAGAGGTTTTTTTTGCGAACCAGTGTTAAATTAAAAAAGTGACTTTCAATAAGTATTTTTATAATCTACATTGAATAAAAAAGTTTCTATTTCTATTAAATATATTTTGTAGTTTTTGAAATTGGAAAAATCGAAGTTATACAATATCACTTACAAGCTTTTTTACGCATATCAACCGTCACTCAGTCAATCCAATTTTTTCTCAAGACTCTCTCTTGTCTTGTCCTATATCTTATATCTAATTTCGTATACCTCTGAGGAATTGTTCGGACTTATTCCAGCCGCACAATATCACCATCGCACATGGCGACAAAACTCGCTATACCATCCATATCATCTGGATGACTTGGGGTCACCACTGTGCGATTTAAAATAAGTTTTCTTCCTCGCACAACCTCCTTGTCGAATCGACTACCACCAGAGATTTTTTCGGACCGATACTACTTGGGGATCTTCAGGAACAGAGCCTACTCCTTTTTAAAAGGCCGGCAACGCATCTGCAATTCCCCTGGTGTTGCAGTTGTTCATGGGCGGCGGTAATCACTTACCATCAGGTGAGCCGTATGCTCGTTTGCCCTCTCTCCTGTTAAAAAAAAAAGTTATTGCCACGCTTGGCGTGTTGGCAACTGCAGATTTCTATTATTTTGAGTTGTTTATAGAAAGAGGCTGTTCCCTATCTAATTTTTCACTTCCCTTTGCCGCTTCTTACGACACTTACACGATGATACGGGGTGTAATGGCAGCGTCTGTATAAACGTTGACACAAAAGTCGTAACAAAATATTCACTCTTGCCTTGAAGAAACCCAAAATGTAATTGAACGGAAAGATAAATATGGGCAAATATTCTATTCCTTCGCTGTAGGCGAAATCGTAATTCGGATCGATAACAAAGGGGTGGAGACGTACAAACCTATTCTGGTGGTCTTATGGTGGAATAGAGTGCGCAGGATTAAGTCATGTCATTATGGTATTTATATTCATTCTTTTTTAAATTAACTTTATAAGTCATAAGGTTTTCTCTTAATGTATCCGTAACTGTTATAGCCTATTAAAGTCCACTGCTGAACACAGGCCTCCCCCATAGACTGTCTCATATACCCCATATTTGGCAAATATACCCTATATTTGGCAAATATACCCCGTATTTGGCAAATATACCCCATATTTGGCAAATATACCCTAATATTTGGCAAATATACCCTATATTTGGCAAATATACCCCGTATTTGGCAAATATACCCCATATTTGGCAAATATACCCTATATTTGGCAAATATACCCTATATTTGGCAAATATACCCCATATTTGGCAAATATACCCCATATTTGGCAAATATACCCCATATTTGGCAAATATACCCCATATTTGGCAAATATACCCTATATTTGCAATAGTTATCACACTTGGCAAGCGGGTTGACAACTGCAGTTTATTTCTATTTGTAGTTGTTATTAGAAAGATGCTGCTACCCATCTTCTGATTTGTTTACCTCTGTCGTCTCTTACGGCATCCACGGGATGATATGGGGTAGTGGATATTCTTAAACCGCCACACAGTGAATGTATCATTAGAATCACCACTTAATGTATCATCAGGATTTATTAATTGTTAGGTTACAGTTTAATTGCCATCACTGATCATAGTTTTATGAAGTGATAATAATCAAAGTTAAAGTTACAGCCCATATATGTCCCACTGCTGGGCACAGGCCTCCTGAGAGGGTTTTAGGGCAAGGAAGTGTCTGCCGCGCTGCCCCAATACATGTTGGCGAACTTCACATGTCTCCGAAATATCCTTTTTCTTATTCCTCAGACATGCAGGTTTCCTCACGATGTTTTCCTTCACCGCCGAGTACGTGGTAAATCAGCACTTAAAATTGCAATTAACAATTTCATTGGTGCCGGCGAAGATCGAACCCGGACTACTCGCATTCTGTTATATTTACAGCGAGCGGTATCCATCTGAGCTACCACGGCTCTCAATAATCAAAGTATGTATAAATAATTATATAGTGAAATAAAATTTTTCAGAGAGCAAGAAACATTCGGTCTAAACTGAGTTGCATGTTAAAAACCACCTACGACCGTACATTCATCTGTGATAATTCAGAAGAAATAATTGATAATTTTATAGACTGTGGACCGATTGTAGATATTAAACCTGAAAGTGATTTAGACGATGTGCCTTTAGCTGAACTTCATAGCAACTCCATGTCCAATGATAATGAAAAGCTTAATAAAGAGAATACAGCTCTAAGTCTATACACAAAAAGTCTAAAATCAAATCACTTAAATGAAAACCAAGGAAGTAATAGAAAAGTAAGACCAGTAAGGAAACGAAAACTCAGCAAAGAAAGTTCCAAAGAAAATAGTACTTTAATTGATAGTAATAAGAAATATTATGCTACAATTGAAATGAATGAAGAGGAAATGACTGAAAGTAGAAATGAGAGAAAGCGGACAGCCATTTACGCTGATGCGGCATTCAAATGTGACACTTGTATCGAAGGTTTTAAGCTTGAAATTGAGTTGGAAGGACATAATTTAGACAATCACAAAAAGGTAGGCTTTTTATTTTTATTTGGTTCTAAATGTATATGTCGACTTTCCAACTTAACACCCTGCTGACTCACAGACCTGGCTCTTGTGACCCACTGCTGTTAGGGTAAAAATCTATACAAAATTATTAAATCATATTTAAAAGGCTTCATAATCTTTATATTATATACTATATAGGGCACCGGCTTAACACGGGTGATCCTGTTTTTTTATTTGGTCAAACAACAAGACATACCTGAACACATTGTAAATACTAGAAATAACAGGAAGCGTTATATCTAAGTGTCGTCTTAATTAAAGGTTGCCACAGCATGCAATGTGGACTACAAATATGTTTCTTAAAATTATTCTAGCAATTTGAGTTATTATTAATATATATTTTAAATTATACCCAAATGTTAGCTAACACCAAAGGACTACAAAATTTTACTTCTGAACTTTTGCGGTCTATCAGCAAAGTAATCGACGTCACATGGCTTGCAGAGCTTGTTATATTGACTCTGTAATCTCTTTATGGTGGCGTGGTGACCCAAATTAGTTTTACTGTCCTTACTTAAAAAGGGGACGTATCGGCTGACCTGCACTAGCTTGAATTGCTTGAACTGCAGTAGATATGGACAGTTTTTTGACGTCCCAATGTCATAGTTAACCACGACTACCTTCAGTTGAAAACCTCGAGAATTTAAAATTAGTTAAATATACGCGATAAAATCCGTAAAACTTAGTATCATTTAAATCTCTTTCTGCAAACTGAGGATGCCTCGTGTAGAGTCGGAAAACACGTCGTATTATCAACGTCGTGTAGAGTCGGAACACACGTCGTATTATCAAGGTCGTGTAGAGTCGGAACACACGTCGTATTATCAAGGTCGTGTAGAGTCGAACACACGTCGTATTATCAAGGTCGTGTAGAGTCGGAACACACGTCGTATTATCAAGATCGTGTAGAGTCGGAACACACGTCGTATTATCAAGGTCGTGTAGAGTCGGAAAACACGTTGTATTATCAAGGTCGTGTAGAGTCGGAACACACGTCGTATTATCAAGGTCGTGTAGAGTCGGAACACACGTCGTATTATCAAGGTCGTGTAGAGTCGAACACACGTCGTATTATCAAGATCGTGTAGAGTCGGAACACACGTCGTATTATCAAGGTCGTGTAGAGTCGGAACACACGTCGTATTATCAAGGTCGTGTAGAGTCGGAACACACGTCGTATTATCAAGGTTGGTGTGTCGGTCCTAGTGTAGTGGTGCTGATAGGTATGGCGCTGGGAGTAGTTGTGCTGAGAGTAGTGGTGCTGGAAGTCGTGGTGAAGGGGATACTGCACGCAACTGAGGGAGGGTGGGAGGTGGTTGGTCTTCAGATTGGGCAGGACACATAATTTTGTTTTATTACGCGGTAAAGTTCTAACAACTTCAATATAATGGATTTCCGCAAAGTAACACCTGATTCTTACGCAAAGTAATCCGAAATCCAAAGTAACCACAAAGTAATACCTGATTCACGCCTTATTTGGGCGTAAAAATCGACCAAAAACTAACGTGGCACTTTCACCTTAGTACACCTCCATGGAAGTCCATTGCTGAAAACAGACTCCAGTTGTTGGGAGTACTTGTTTCAATCTTCACGTTAGCGAAGCTTATTAATGACTGTAGTACCAGATGTCTCCCTCCTTGGATGTATTAGCAACAACCTTCATCATCATCATCGTGACAGCCCTTTACGATTCCATTGCAGAACATAGGCCTTCCTCAAGGAATGCCGCAGAGCACGGTCATGAGCCACGTGCATCCATCGACTTCCCGCATGTTTTACCAGGTCGACACTCCATCTAGTAGTGAGTCAACCTACGCTTCATCTACCAGTACGAGGTAACAGCTTTAGCAACAGCCTCATTAAGACATTATTTCAGAACTTTGTTACAGAGAGAAAAACGTACAATATGCGATATATGTCAGTCGTACGTCAAAAAGGCATCATTTAAAACGCACAGGAGGGATCACTATCTAAAATACAGTTGTCAGTTGTGTGATTTCATGTCATACAAAATAGCGGAGATGATTTGTCATTTGAAGAGTGAACATGCTATAAAGAATCTGGTTCTTGCTTTACATAGGAAGAAGGTAACTTTCGTTATTATATATAGATGGTATCTTTAGTGAATAGCTGTATCATATTTTCATATTATATAGGGGTATGAAAGTGAACGCAAGTAAGACGAAAGTTATGGTTTTTGAAAGAGAAGAAAGTAAAACGATATGTGAAATAAGAAAAGAAGGGGAGTTGATTGAGCAAGTAGATGAGTTTGTATATTTGGGTTGCGTATTTAGCAGGGATGGAAGATATGATAAGGATATAGAGTAAATCGCGCACTACTCTCCATTGTAAAGAGTCAGAATGTGTCAAAGAAGGCACATATGTCAATTCACAATGCTGTGTTGGTCCCTACTTTAACATATGGTAGTGAAAGTTGGGTGTGGTAGAAGAAGCACGAGAGTAGAATAAACGCAGTAGAAATGCAGTCGTTAAGGAGTATGTTAGGGCTGAATCTGAATGACAGGGTGAGAAATTCTGTAATAAGAGAAGAGTGTGGTTTGCAAGATGATGTTGTGAACAGGATTAAGAAAGGAATGCTTCGGTGTTTTGGTCACCTGGAAAGAATGAATGAGTAAAGAATGACAAAGAAAATTTATGTTGCAGAAGTGAATGGCAAAGTCGGAAAGGGATGTCCTAGGCGAAAATTTATGGACCAAATTAGCGATTTATTGAAAACGCGCCAAATTAGGAGTACCCTTTACCGACGAGCATGTATGCGTAGGTATATGGATGTGAAGGAGGCGAGAGAGGTGTGTCAGGATCGTGCCAAATGGAAGTCTGTAGTCTCTGCCTACCCCTCTGGGTGAAAGGCGTGAGTGTTTATGTATCATATTATATGAACTGGTTACTTTTAGTAGTGTCTTAAAGTTAAGTCTTAAAGTTAGTTTTCCTTTCTAAGTTGAATTACATTTGTAGTAGATAAAAATAAACTAGAAATATTATGTAAAAAATGTACTGGTTGGATTTCATCGAATCGTTTGACAGGAATTTGGAGGAGTAAAGTGTTGTATTTGGTAGAGGATTGGCCCTTAATTATAACAACACCACAGGCATTGAAAGGTAATGCACTGTTTTCGAGAAAAAAAAGCTATTATAAACTAAAAATGGGTAAAACATGGAAAACCGAACGCAATATAATATTAACTTATAATATTAATTATAACATTACTTTTAAAGCTGGATAGCATAATTAATATTGTGTAGGTGCGACAAGGACGTAAGACCATGTGTAAGACTAGTGTCACATTATAATAGTTAGTAGTTAACGCTTAGTTCCCGAGATATGGTTACTCAAAAATCTAATACTAAAACTGAATTAGTACGCCCCGACTCCACGTAGTCTTTTCTGCTCTAGCCCTAGTGCTTTTATAAAGCCATAGATGTGGTGGGAGAGCAGTTTCCACCCTCTGTAGGAAGTAGCAGGCACTTGAGCGAGCCGATTATCATCTTCCTTACTGCCGAAGGGAGAGAGATAAATATTATCATTTTGAGGTTAGGTCTATGAAATTTCTTTTAAATTTTTCTCAAGAACGGTGTATTACCTATTCATGGGAGTGGTGTAGAGGACATAGACATAGGTTTTATTAGAGGACACTTCCCTGTCCCTCCCTCTCCCTCCCTCCACCTCGCCCACGCTCCCTATCCCCTCTCCCAGCCCCTCCGGCCAAACGATTCAAAATTTTTACCAAATGTATTGTTGCCACTTTACCAAATGTATTGTTGAGTGTAAAACATTCACTTCCCTTATATCATTTAAATGATGACGGCCTTTGGCTGTTTTATAGGATACATTTGTATGTTTTATAGGATTTAACTCACCCTCCCCTTTCCACCATTTGACAATGAGACACTCGCCCAGAGTTTGTATATATACCTTTGTTGCCAATATTCCACATATTGGAACAAAACACTGTTTCGTTTTTTGTAATGCTTATAGCAAGAGAGTGGGGGGGAAAAACTAGTGGGGTCTCTTCATAGCTGGAGTGGAAAGAGTTTAGTATCGGAAAGATAGCGTGATTTAGCATTAAGGGCTTCACCACCACATATCACCATGTAGAATTTTAGTCAAGAAGTGGCTTATAAAAAGTTCCTTTTGTCGCCTCTTACGACGCGTACGGGATGATATAGATGATTTACTTCCACTACAAGGCTAACTAACTACTAACACATTTGTTTTCATTACTTCTGGAGTACACCTAGGGCTCTACCACATATGACATGTCCTCTAGAACGAATTTCGGCCACGGCGGCCTGCCTAAACGGAGACTAGCCATCGGCGCAGGACAGGATTATAGTGTCTGAGTGCATGCGCAAGCACAGGTACATCCTCTATTCCCTTACTCTTATAATCCGATGGAACGGTGAAATAACACGACCGGAGAGAGATCAGGCGCAGGATCAACGGCTTTACATGCTTTCCGAGGCACGGGGGTGAGACACCGCCAACTTCCTTACTTCGGGTAGCTACTGAGAATTTCAATAATCGACGGAAAACTTAATAATCGATTTTTGGCCCGACCCGGGATTCGAACCCAGAACCTCATGATCAGCAATTTCGCTACTACAACCACTAGATCGACGAGGCAGACACATATGATATATTATACATAACATATAAAAATGAAGTGCCTTGTACGTTAGTCTCGCAAGAACTCGTAAGTCTCGACCGATTTTGATGACATTTTGTGTGTGGGTCCCTAAATGGTTGGGACTCACAATTGAATTCGAGGTGGTGATTTTGTCACGACAAATAACATCTCGATTCAGATAACACCAGCGTGAAGCTGTGGCGAATTGCTACTTATCATAATAAATATTTTTTTCTTTACAGAATCAACGTAAAAAGTACGTAGTAAAAAATCCAGGTTCAAAGCCGCGACGGAATAAAGCGATGAAGGACAAAGGCACGCCTTTCGGTTTTTTATGTTCGGAATGCAACAAATATTTTGAGTAAGTGTTTTGTTACATTCTTGGTGACAGATCTATGTTCTACAGTAGTCTTTCAAAGAGCTTGTAATGAAAATGTTAAAAAAGTTTTAACGTGGTAGAGCCATGCTGCAGCTATATTAATTATATATTTGTAGCACGAAAGGATCATCTCAACCGGGGAAGGACCACGCTCTCACAGAATACCAGCGTAAAATAGCAGCTTAATGCTGCTGTGATTCGTATGGTGAGTGTAGAGAACCGGAGACCCTTTTTACTGGAAAAGAGGCATTTCATCTTAGTCCTCAAGGCTGACAACGCATCTTCATTTTGATTCGCAAACGAGGATAGATGTGGCTGTCTATGGGCCACAGCAACCACTTACCTTCAGGTGGACTGTGTGCTCGTTTGTCACCTTTTCATATATAAAAAAAAGTTATAAAAGACATGTATAGGTTTATTTTATAAAATAAGGTAAATATAGATAAATATATACTTTTATCCTCCATTACTATTTAAAATGCGGTTGCGTTGTCACCCTTGAGGACTAAGATGGAATGCCTCGTTTCCAGTAAAAAGGGTCTCCGGTTCTCTACACTCACCATACGAAACACAGCAGCGTTAAGCTGCTATTTTACGCTGGTATTCTGTGAGAGCGTGGTCCTTCCATGGTCGAGTCGACTCATTCGTGCTACAACCATAATATAACTGCAGCATGACTCCTACCATATTGAAAGTTGGTTGACCTATCATAGTCGCCATATTAATCTCACTCAATACCAAACTATCCCAGAAAGTGAGTAATATTTTTCGAAAGTATGTATTGTATGTAGGTTTATCTTTGGCACACTCTGTAATCTAAACGACTTGATGGATTTTAACATATTATTGAAGTGTTGTTAGATACATCTTTATTGTGGGAGTAACATAGGCCTTATAATATTTATACTGGATGACCTTTTTTACCGTTTGAAAAAAAGATAGTGTGTAACATGTGAATGGAGTAGAAGCCTATGGCACTAATAATTTGCAAAAAATAAAAACATTTTTTTTTTATGAATGATTACTTTGCCCTTTGCTATTGAGCCTGTGACCCTGCGAAGTGACAAGGTCAGAGATGCCTACTAAATTTATTGTTTTATTGCCGTTCGTAAAGTTTCTTCAAAGCTTTTCTTTTTTTTTTTGTAAAATATCTATGCTTTCCATTCACATGTTACACCCTATTTTTTCAAGACGGTAGAAAAGGTCATCCAGTATGTTGCATCTGCAAATACAAAATGGAAGGAAAAGTTTTTTTTTTAGTTAACTAAATGAATAATTAAATATAGCTGCAGCGTGGATATATGTGGTAGAGCCATGCTGCAGCTATATATATTATGGTTGTAGCACGAATGGGTCGGTTCGACCGGGGAAAGACCACACTCTCACAGTATACCAGCTTAAAATAGCAGCTTAATGCTGTTGTGTTTCCTATAGTAAGTGTAGAGAAGCGGAGACCTGTTTTACTGGATTTGAGGCATTCCATCATAGTCTTCAGGGGTGACAACATATCTGCATTTTAATTCTTAATCGAGGCTAAATGAAGATGTCTGGGCCATAGCATCCACTTACCATTAGGTAAACTGTGTGCTCGTTTGTAAACCTTATTCTTTAAAAAAAACTTTAATACAGTCGGGTTTTTTGAATTACTGTTTCAACTTTTAATTTGGCTGTTGCTTTTCCATTTCTTGTACTATTTGTTGCTAGACACGTGAGTCACTTTTAACTTCTAGCATATTTTTTCTAATTTAATTAATATCTTAACAGGACCAAGAACTTACGATGGAAGCACATTCAAAGACACCATCGCGAGGGTTTCGAATGTACCACATGTGGTAAAAGGTTTCCATTCAAAAACAACTTGAACAGGCACACACTGTAATTATATACAGGCTGTTTCTATTTTAACTTTTTAATTGTTTAAGGCTCCGGTGGAAATACGTCTCACTACTGACACAGGCCTCCAGTAATTTTTATTAGCGTTATGAAGGAATTTGCTTTAGCAAATTTTAGCAACTTTTATATGACTATGTTTAATTTTGTTTAAGCCCTGCAAAGTTTTACAATGTTTTCCTTTAACATCATGTTATAAACAAGCGGATGCTTCGGCTTCGCCTCGATAGGATCTATTTGTATGGAATTATTTAGAATTAATTGTTTAATGTTGCGTTGGAAATTTGTCTCACAACTGCGCACAGACCTTTACATGAAGGTTAGAGAACAGGAGAACGATCACCGTAGAAAATAGTGTCCAGAAATATGGACACCATAAGTGAGGCGCTACGATCGCTCAGTTCGCTCAATAAAAGTCATTTTTAGTCTATTTTTCCGACCAGATGCTAAACCTCTTGCACATCTCGCGCACAATAAAATATTTCTCCATTTTTTAATGTTTCTTTTTGTCAAAATTTACAAAATTATGGAGCATGAAAATTTTCTCATTTAAAATGAAATGAAAATTTGTACATTATTCAACTAACTTCATCTACTTGTACTCATAAACAGCTAACTTCGCAGTCACTACTCACCGACGTCAGCGCCGCTATATATTCTACAATTTTCAAGGACAGGCGGGCAGATGTTTTGTTTTAAATATTTTTGGTTTTTTCTTAATGTTCTTGCTAGCTGGCTGTATTTATGTAGGCTTTACTCGCGATGTCATGGGGGGTTATATTATTTGGGTCTCATTTCTTGATACATTGGGTATAGTTAAGAGAAGATTGGTCGATTTCTACACAGGGCGTTTGTATGTACGTGTGTCCAGACGTTATTATTATTTTTTTGTTAGAAAACGCCTATTATTGTATCTAAAACCATCTCAGAAATGAGAGGTGTGCTGTGCTCAGCAGTGGGTCGTGTATAAGCTGTAACTTAACTTTACTAGGTACTTATTATTCCAAACTAGTATACAGTTAAAGTTCCTAGCATATCCCACAGCACGGTAAAGGTATTTTTTATAGGATAAAGGTGACAAACAAGCATTCAGTCCATCTGATGGTAAGTGGTTTCTGTGGCCCAAAGACATCTACATCTATCTTCGATTACTAATCAAAATGCTAATGCGTTGGCACTCGTGAGGACTAAGATGGAATGCTTCGTTTCCAATAAAAAGAGTCTGCGGTTCTCTACACTCACCATATGAAACACAGCAGCTATAAGCTGCTATTATATGCTGGCATTCTGTGAACTATACTATTAATATATCAGCAGAATGGCTCTACCACGTAACGTCTCCTCTTATTCCTGCAATTGATTCTTAAAATACATGACAAAAATGAGGATACTTGCGAATTTTATCGCGTATATTAATTTATTTTATAAATGTTTTGGTGCAAAATCGATATTGTAATTTTTTTACTCCAACACCATTTTACAACAAAACTTTGTGTTAAAGGATAAGATGATTAAACTTTTTTTAACGTGAAAATAATAGATGACACATAATTGCCTAGATAATAGCAAAAAAAACTGGGTTTAAAGTAGTTTCGATACTTGAACTATTTGCCCCTAATTGACATTCCCGTGGCCCAATGGCTTAGCAATGAGTTGTGAGTTCGAATCTGGATGTTTGTCCTTGTAAAATGTATGTATGTAATATGTATGTAAACTGCCTTCACGATACAAGAAAAAGTCTTTGGGTGTGTGTGTGTGAGAGTGTGTGGGTGGGTGGGTGGGGGAGTGGGTGTAACTTTGTAGACAAGGTCACGTTTCACATGAATACGTGTAAGTGTACGTAACGAAATGACCTCAAAATGGTGGCGCTCCTCCCTCCGCTGCGTCACAGTCCTTACTTAACGTAACGGATTCTTTGATCATTTAGCTATCGAGTGGTATAATTAAATTTTGGATGTAGATTATAGATATGTAGCTACACCAAACTGTATCTTCCGATTTTATTATCATTGCCTTCCACTGAGAAAGCAAATTTATTGACGTATTCACGTCCAAAACACTACTATTAAAGATATGCAGTTTTTTTGCGTGTTTTGTAGTGTATAATAAAGTATATGCGTACGTACATTAATGCGGAGCTTACGTGGTAGAGCCACTTTGCAGCTTTATTACTTATGGCACAAATGGGTTGGCTCAATTGCGGTATGACCACGCTCTTACACAATACCAGCGTAAAATATCAGCTTAAGACCGTTGTGTTTCGTATGGTGAATGTAGAGAACTGCATTTTGATTCTTAGTAAAGTAAAGTAAAGTTACAGCCTACATGCGTCCGACTGCTGGGCACAGGCCTCCCCTCATTTCTAAGAGGGTTTTAGGGCAAGGAAGTGTCCCCCGCGCTTTTCTTTATTCCTCAGACATGCAGGTTTCCTCACAATGTTTTTCTTCACCGCCGAGCACGTGGTAAATCAGCACTTAAAATTGCAATTAACAATTTCATTGGTGCCGGCGGGGATCGAACCCAG